GATAATAAGTAGGTACCTACTCCATATCCTCTAGAAAAACTATGCCTTATCTTAAGAATGTTTTTAGTCCTGAAAACTCGATTTAAAAACAACAAATAATTTTACTTCTTTTAATCATTTATTTTTTGAAGTACCTATTAATTTGTAATGCAACAAATCCCGCCAACCCCTTACGAGTCTTCCAGTGACTTGGTCCACTTGGAGTTCGAACACGCGTTCCTCAGATGTGCGAGTTAATCACAAGTCAATGAAGTAGTCGAAGGAGTGATGTCCTATTTCTCCATTTCTATTCAAAATAAAATGTATAGAATAATCACATTTACCAAGCTCATAAAAAGTAACTACGTCAATTGATTGGTAATGTTAATTAACCAATTGTGAACGTTATCTACTTGCTTATCAATCCCGGCTAACTAATAGGGGCTGATCCATTCCACTCGCAAAGACTGATGCGATTGGATCCTTCGAGAGGTCGTTAGCGGTTCTTTGATTTGTTACCGTGCACAGAGAGCTCTAATTTGTTATTTTTTCGGCTTTGGCATTTGTTAAGCCGATGAAAAAGTAGATCGATGACAATATCCAGCTGGCAATGACGTCATACTACTAACTAAAATAAATATGAATCTAAATATGATATAAAAACAAAGTAGCAGTAAATAAGAAAAAAAACTGTCATTAACACAAGAGGCGCACTTTTAACGCTGAAATGCCTAACGAAAAAGGATAAAAATGTACGAGTAACTACGTTTTAATGTGACACAGAAAAAAATCGAAAAGGAAAATCGAATAACATCCATTCTTGGATCAAACCGACATGGGCTCTACCGCTGCTGCAGGAAAAAAGGGTAAAAAAACAAAGAGTCCCTGAAACGTACATTCTTTTAAAACTGTCAAACATAAATCTTTCCGCCAATACCCTACTTCCGGCTCAGGGCTGAGCAAAAACTGATACGATTGGATCCGCCGTCGTTAAAGGGCTTCTAATTTGTTGCCTGCGGGTAGGACGGAAACCCGCCGCTTATTAACGACTCTACTCGTTATTTTGATCTGAGTTTTATTTTGTTTTTGTGAAAACGCAGTTTTTGCATTATTTTTCCAATTTTCAGTAAATTATGAAAAAACTATTTCTAGCGAATGTTATTTCTTTCAGTTACTAAATGACCACGATAGGTATAAATAGTTATTCTTCCGATATATTACCGGTAGTTGAGTAGTAACTGAATTAATAAACTGAAAAAGATTCATCTTTAGATGACTTTAATAACACCTTTTCAGCATCAATTTTTTAAGTAAGTGAAGATTTCGAAGGGGTAAGTCAATACTCAACTATGTAGCTCAACAGTTTGAAAATCTATATATATAAAAGAAAGTCGTGTTAGTTACTCCACTTATAACTCAAGAACGGCTGAACCGATTTAGCTGAAAATTGTCAGGGAGGTAGTTTAGAGCCAGGAGAAGGACATAGGATACTTTTTATCCCGTTCGAAATAAAAAAAGTCTGCTTATTTATTGCCATTAAGGCGGAACAAAGTTCGCCGGGTCAGCTAGTTATAAATAACTTGAAAAAATCGAACTGCCTAAGGCGGGAATTGAACTCACGACCCAGCTTGCCGGGCGACTCAACAGTTATTTTAATTTCTATAAAAACAAAAACATTAAAACACATGATTCAAATCCACGCTTCGTGACAGATATGATATTATGATTTTATTCGTAGTTATCTCAAAATCCGAAAATAGCCTTGTTCACCTTACATCCGCTCCGTTCCTTTTCCATAAAGATGCAAATATCTGTCGGGACCCAGACATGTCAGACCCTATTCCGAAAAACTATGCCTACTTATATCTTCTTATACACATGTAGGTATATTTATGAACAGAAACTGTGTAAGTTAAGTATAATGTCATTCTGTATATTTTGGTGAGATATAAAACTTAATAAGGAAAAGTGAGATATAAAGGAACTTGTCGTATGAATTTAACTTGAAGGAATTTCTTTCTGAACAGTAAATTCTGAGAGAGAGAGAGAGAGAGAGTTAGGAACATAGTCACATTCTCTATTTGGTCTAAAGGTTAACAGGTAGATAATGTCACTCGGCATTAAGTTCCTCTTTAGTACCGCAATTTTTGTGAGCAATAAAGTTTTTAAATAAATAACCATCACTTTATATGCAAGTACTAGCGGCCGCCCGCGACTTCGTACGCGTGGATCCCGTTTTACCCCCTTCATCTATCTTACGCAGTTTAGATTTTTTCATACAAATGTTTTTTCCCGCGAACTCCCGTTCCCGTGGGAATTTTGCAATATCCTGTTGTAACTAAGCTTTAAGTTTACTAAGGTACCTGCATACCAAATTTCAAGCGTGTAACTTAAGCGGTTTAAATTTTTCATACAAAAGGATTTTCCCGCTAATTCCCGTTCCCGTGGGAATTTCGGGAATTCCTTTCTTAGTGCACCTCTAAGGTACCTAAGCTATGTCCCTTCCTTTTTAAATTTCAAGTGCCTACGTTTAGCCGTTTAGGCTGTGCGTTGGTCTGTCAGTCAGTCAGTCAGTCAGTCAGTTTCTCCTTTTATATGTATATTTAGATAACTATAAGACTGGCCTTTATTTGGCTTATAAAATCACGAAATAGTTGAAAAGTACTGACTGAGTCCGACTCGTAATAGACACGGGTCTAAAGGTCGAAGGGCAATAGTGGCGAACTCCCGGATTTCTTGAAGGACGCCTATCCCCGACATTTGTAAGGGACTTGTTAGGGAATGGGACTGTAAAAGTTTATGTGGATAAGATCCGGGAAAAGTTATGGTAAAATCTTTTGGTTTAACTTTGTAATAATCTTGTGGGTTCTGTAGGAAATCTTTGAAGGAAACATATTTTCGCGACTATACATTATTATCATTATACTTGGTGTCACGTAAAAAAAGCGGTGGTCAAAATCCTACTTTCCTACTATAATATTATAAATGCGAAAGTTTGGATGTCTGGATGTTTGTTACTCTTTCACGCAAAAACTGCTGAACAGATTTTGATGAAACTTTACAGTATTATTGTTTATAACCTAGAATAACATATAGGCTATAATTTATGACGATCTGTGACGGACTAAATTTCACGCGGGTGAAGCCGCGGGCAAAAGCTAGTAGGACAAACATTTACAGTACCTACTGATTTATGTGTTCGGTGGAGTAAGCGCACTCTTCAACGCTCTTTTTAAAAAAAATATACATATGAAAAGTTAAAAAAAGTTGCTCTACCAACCAATAACTACCCAACTGCAACATTAACATAAAATAAACATCGAAAGATGTTCATGAACTATGTATAGGTATGCTTTTATTAAACTGAACAATAATTACTATGGGGTAGCCGGTACATCAATCACCCTAACAAGCTCTCCAGCTCATTACTAGGGGTGACGACGCGACACGACTCTGATACTAGATACCAGGCAAGATAAATGACAAACTCCTAGTTTAGAAAAGGGAGGCATGAAGCTCTCCATACCTATGTATAATAATATGTATTGAAGTAATATGTATGTATAGAAGTGTTTGTGTGTATAAGATTTATGTATAGATAAGATTGCACTTATGAATCTTATCTATACATAAATCTTATACACTTGTGGTCTAAACTGAATAAATATTTTTGATTTTGATTTTGATTATTTGATTTGGTAAAGTACCAAAGTGTGGCGACCTTCTCGAGTGGCGACCACGGGCTGGAAGATGTAGCGTGGGAATGCCTCCTCTAGGTGGACCGACGATCTGGTGAAGGTCGCGGGAAAAGCTTGGATGCGGGCAGCGCAGGACCGTGTATTATGGAAAACCTTGGGGGAGGCCTTTGTCCAGCAGTGGATGTCATTTGACTGAAACGACGACGACGACGAAAGTACCTAAGTATTCCTCAATGATATAAACAATAGGCAACTATGCCTGGAAGAATTAGCTTTATAAGACCGCCTAAATTGTATCGTCTCTTTTCTATATTGCTTTCCTTTCTTGTCTTGTGTGTGTTATATCCATCAATCTACCCTAATGTTGCTTGGGCGCTAAACTTTTTTGAATGATGTATTGGGATACTGAAGCTTCGATCGTGGGCACTTAAAATAGCGGAACGTACAGCTCAAGGCTTCGGTCGTCGTTTAACTGATGTCCAAATAAATAACTCACATCTTTATTACCGCATACATTTCTATATAAAAACAAACGAAAATATTTGCTTTTAGTATAATACTGGTAAACATAGTTATGTAAATATCTATCTATAATTCTCGATTAGGATATTGATTTAGTTACAAGATCAAAAAGGTAATTTTATCAAATAAATGCCCAACCCAGTCAATTTAACACCCACTCACGTAGATAATAATATCTTGTAAAATATCCTACAAATAGGTAAGTAACTGTTGAATCTAGTTTATAAGCAAACAAACGAGCCGTCCATTTTTTGGCTATCCACATAAAAATNATTCTTATTATGTAGGTAATATGACATTCTAAGACAATTATTTATGTATTCAATTTTTGATTTTATTTGACTGATTTGTTATCGTTTTACTTGACAATTGTACACAATATTGACATTTTTAATTGATATTATTTGCACGATTGTACCTATAACTTGTTGGCGCGTTGGATTTTCTGTAAGCCTTCACCCAGATAACAATTTAAACTTGAATCTGACTTGCAGTAAGTTTGATGTATCAAAAATGAAGCTTTGTTTCAAATTTGCCATGGCAAGTATATAAACTTGAGGCAAGTTTAAATCAAACTTTCTAGTTTCCGAGCGACAAACTTGCATTAATGTGTTTCTATAAAGTATATGCAAGTTTGCCTTAACAAACTTGCATTATGTCTGCTTCTATAAATTATATGTAAGTTTGCCTTAACAAACTTGCATTATGTCTGCTTCTATAAATAATATGTAAGTTTGCCTTAACAAACTTGCANCAAAGAGAGGTCTATTTTGCAGTTTTGCCTCACCTATCGCCTTAAATTAATTTACATAAGTAAGTATAAAAAAAACTTTCATAATCACATTTCAGAGGCTCATTTCATGAACCTGTAGGTAATGTTTACTCTTTTGGACTATGAAAACCATTAACAAGAGGATAAGTGGGCTCTATGTCATCAGCCACATCATTTTGATCACCATTAGTGTGAATTTCATTGCCATTGTTTACAGTCTCTGCTATCTCCAAATCGTTAATGGGACTCTGACTTCGACTAGAGCTACTACTACAACTGCCTGAGCTAGAAGAGCTATCACTTTCCGAGTCTTCACTTGTTGACCCATGTGATGTTTGTCGTAAATGCTCATTTTCATGTTGTAACTTTTCATTGGCCAATTTCAGATCACGTATTTGATCTTCTTGTTCTTTCAACCGTTGCATAATTTCATTTACAGCTGGCTCATAAACTGTATTGGATTCAATAGAGGTACCCGATGTATCCCTTTCCGTTATCATGCTATCTTTATCTGTAAGAGAGGCATCCTTTTCAGATCCAGAACAATCCTTGTCACTAAAATATTTCGGCTTAGAACGTTCAGTTCGTTTGACAAGATTGTCATATTTTGCCTCAAGTAATAGATATTCTTGAATGAGTTCATTCTTCGACATATTTGATAAACGTTCGCATTGCGCATCCTCATAAACGCTAGAAAATTCTTTAGTCAAGTATTCCTCTTCATCTTCCGGAAGAGAGAAAAAATAATTGTCTTCAGAATCAATGCTGAAACTCGAATCACGAGTACGTGCGGAAGGTGTTCGCATGATGAAAGTATTTTCAGGCTCTGGTTTATGAATTTCCATTAAGAACTGATTATTGTTGAAAGGTGCACGCGACTTCGTTAAAACCATTTTACGAAACCTGTTGTTCCTTTTAGATTTCTCGTATTTTCTTCTTTCTTGCCAAGGTATCTTCAAAAACGGTTTCATGATTTTACGTTTAGTTTTCCCGCGCCTCCTCTTCTTTTTAACACTGCCCTCTAGGATTGGATTCTGCGTTTCAAGCACAGATGGCGCTTCCAGCACAGGTCGCGTCGGGTCGCCATCTTTTATTTCTGATAAATTTACATCCATTATTATTATTATAGATCCAAATTTACTCACAATTCAAGCTGACTGCAGCAGAATAAGTTGATTAGGGTTTTGAAATACTTTATAGATCACCAACTTTGAATAAAGCTCTATAAACACGCAAGTACAACGGAGAGGTCCGCACTCAACAATTTCAGTTCCGCCATCTTTATTTATATTTATTTCTTCCATCAATTTTATAAGTATGCGGACCTTGCCATTTGAAAAAATAAAATGTATTAGTAGAAAATTCCAAAGGTGCCAAATTGACTATCGATATATCGAAGTGTTGAGGGGTTTGTACAAAAACGCCACAATGTCGGTCCGCCTCCAGGATCGGGACTCGAAACCTATCCAGTTGCAGCGAGGGGTAANACAATCTCTCTCTACTACCCAGGTGCGAGCCATCCGCAAGAAGATGTGCGAGATCATCACCCGTGACGTCACCAACTCGGAACTCCGCGAGGTGGTCAACAAGCTGATCCCCGACTCCATCGCTAAAGACATCGAGAAGGCGTGCCACGGCATCTACCCGCTGCGGGATGTTTGCATCAGGAAGGTAAGTTATTGACTAGGGTTCTCATACTTCTAAGAGAGACTTATGGGACTATTCCCACCTCTCGTTCCCACCGCTGCAACTCCTGTGTAGCCAGGATCTACAGCTGGACCGCCAATGAAAATACAACCAGTGAAGGTCAAGTTTGTCCCGGGTTACAGATGTAGTCGGCCGATAGCTTGGTCATCAGACAAAAGTAGGTCTAATTAAAAAATCAGTAACCCTCTTACTATTAAAACTTACACGCTCGTTGAACAGTGTTTTAAAGTGACGTTTAGTATGGAAATGTAATTTTAAAACAGTGTTCAACAACTGTGTAATTTTTTATTAGTAAGGGGGTATGGGAGAATCGATTTTTTGCCAGCCGATTCCTGATACAAATAGAAGGTTCTATTTCTCTTTGATCACCTGGATTAGATATCCCAGGAGATCAAAGTGGACTTCAGGCGACACTTATGTCCTTTTATCAGTTTGATCCATGGATGAACATGATCAAAGTGGTGGAATACACTCCATTTTTAAGTCGGAAAATGCTCTTTCGCTCGTGAACGCCGAATTGTGGAACTCTCCCAGAAGGGCGGGGTCTACCCAGTTATCAAATAAAGCCGACCGTGCCCTCCGAAGCCCAATTAAACTTATCCGCTAGTTATTATACCAACTTAGACATTCGCAATCTTGCCAAACCAATGAGGGCTATCGTTATTATACTTAACAGTTGGCACCCCTGGCGATTGACAGGACCTTACTCTACAGTGACGCCATCTTGATGAGTGCAAATGCGATAGACCTCCTACCACTTTAGCGCTCACAAGTTGGTGCCACTGTCTTCGCTACTAGCAACTGAAAGGACCTTACTCTACAGTGGCGCTAACTGGTGAGCGCTAAAACGATAGCCCTCATTACGCGCGAGCGATAAGGATGGGTAGCTTGGGGTCATTGGACGGGATTCTACGTGTTCACAGACCGGGCTTTTTAGATATTATCCCAACTTAGACATTCGTCCGCAATCTTGCCAAACCAAATACAACTTTACACCATTAACAATAACACCTTCGTTTCAGGTCAAGGTGCTCAAACGGCCGCGCTTCGAGATCTCCAAACTGATGGAACTGCACGGCGAGGGCGGCGGCGGCAAGCGCGGCGAGGCGGGCGAGAAGGGCGAACGCCCCGAAGGCTATGAACCGCCCGTGCAAGAGAGCGTTTAAAATAAATATATTGTAAAAAGAACCCTGTGGCTTTCATTTTTAGGATCATAATCCCTCGAAACCCTGGTCGTTTCTATGCGAGCAACTGAAAACAAATGAACGTCGACAAGTGACCGAGCGTCTTACTGATCACAATCCTAGTGTCTAATTCGCAAAAACGAATGAACATCACTAAAACTAGTGTCTAAAAACAAATGAACATCGCTAAAACAAGTGACGATAGTGGTCAAGTGTCTAAAAACAAATGAACGTCGCAAAAAAACGAACGTTCAGTGACACGTCTAAAAACAAATGAACATCTATCTAAAGGTTGTTCATTTGTCGTTTGTTAGATTCTAACTTAACTGGCGTATAAACGTTACGTGTCACTTGTTTTTCGCGCTAATAAAAATCACTGGAAACAAAAGAGCAGCAGATTAAGTGCTTTGTTTCTTTTCCCGCGTAGTGTTCACTTGTTTTTTGTGCTTATAATAAAGACTCCTCGTGAAGGAGCGGAGTGTTCTCCAAGCTGATGGAACTGCACGGCGAGGGCGGCGGCGGCAAGCGCGGCGAGGCGGGCGAGAAGGGCGAACGCCCCGAAGGCTTATGAACCGCCCGTGCAAGAGAGCGTTTAAAATAAATATATTGTAAAAAGAACCTGATGTCTTTTACTTCATGAGGCATTTTGCCAGTCAAGCGAGCGTCTGAATCGCAAAAACAATAGAACACTAGTGGATAAGTGTCTAAAAACATGAATATCGCAAAAAACGACCGCTCAGTGTCTAAAAACAATCGAACGCTCAGTGTCTAAAATAAACGAACATCGTAAAAACAGGGCTCTAGTGTCAGCGATCGTTCATGGCAACGGGAGCGATTGACTATAACAACGGGAGTGATTGACAATTGCAACGGGAAGCTATTGTCTATCTATGGCAACGGGAACGATTGTCTATGGCAACGGGAGCGATTGACTATGGCAACGAGAGCGATTGTCTATGGCAACGGGAGCGATTGACTATGGCAACGAGAGCGATTGTCTATGGCAACGGGAGCGATTGTCTATAACAACGGGAGCCATTGTCTATGGCAACGGGAGCGATTGTCTATGGCAACGGGAGATATTATTTATCTTTGGTAACGGGAGCGATTGTCTTATGTCTATTCTATGGTATATTCTGGAACGGGAGAAAATGCTTTTAGGAATGTGCCTACAGGAGACTAGACGTTTTGAGGTGGTCCTACAGTATCTCTAACTTTGCCCTAACTTATCTTTGAAATAAAACGCAAGTTTTGAAAACGAAACAACTTTATTGGGGGTCAGCAGTCCCCACAACAGACCGCCTTGCGGCAGTCCCGCACAAACACTACGCCACACTGCCACAAACACTTGGGACACCCCACCCCGTTAGCTTTCTGTACACTTTGCCATTTTTTCTCATTTTCGCTCGTGCAATGCAGGTATTTGGTCAGCTTTTCGATTTTTTCAGCCGCGGCCGTGGTCTCGGCTGCTGATTCGGTGGATTCCTGCGCGTCGGATGCGACGGTTCGGTTCTCGAAGGATAAGTCCCAGGTGCCGAGGGATTCCGAGCCGACTGAGAGCGCGGGGGTCGCAGCTGTGAAAATTTTTAACTCTTACGCACCTACGGAGAAACATAATTGGTTACCTACGTGGATTATGACGCTTAATAGATCTACAAATGTTAAGATACTTATACTTTTACAAAAACAAGCCTCCCCGTCCCCCTGGATCAGAGCCCACCCTGGGTCAAGACTTCCCACCCCCTGGGTCAAAACTTCCCGCCCCCTGGGTCAAAACTTCCCACCCCCTGGGTCATGACTTCCCACCCTCCTGGGTCAAGATTCCCACCCTCCTGGGTCAAGATTCCCATCCTCCTGGGTCAAGATTCCCACCCTCCTGGGTCAAGACTTCCCTCCCCCTGGGTCAAGACTTCCCACCCCCTGGGTCAAGCCCCCCTGGGTCAAGACTTCCCACCCCCTGGGCCAGACTTCCCACCCCCTGGGTGAGACTGCCGATCCCCTGAGTTAGATAGCCCCCCCTCCGGCTCAGATATCCCTTTCCTATCCCTAATCACATTGTCCTCCCCTGATCAGGCGCCCTCCCCTATTTTCTACTGCCCCCCTGGGCTAGCCTACTCCTCCCCTCCCTGGGGTAGCCTGCCCCCCTCGATCAGAGACTGAAGGATCAACAGAACTTACACTTCCTCGCCTCAGGCTGCTGGTACTCCGGCGCGCCGCAGCGACAAAATGGCGGCTGCCCGCCCGTCATCATGAACACAAACGGCGTCGCCTCCTTATTCCCCGCCATAAACTGCCTCATGTTCTCAGCAAACGTGGCATTATTCTGCCACTGCTCGAAGCAATTTTTAAAGAATTCGGATGGGTTGTCGCGGCCGCGGTTCAGGACGTGCTTGTGAAAGCACTCCTCACAGAAGACTTGGCCGTAGTAGATCTTGACGGAGTTTTTGGGGACGGCGTGGCAGAAATCTGGAAGTTGAAAAAATTTTGGGTCATAAGGTTGCCAACATTTCATCTACACACTGTTAGATTTCATAAACTAATGAACTAAAAGGACTCAAGGTTAAACGAAGTTTGGCCTTTAAATTCTTGGTAGGCCTTACCTAGTCTACCTGGTAGGGTAGGCCAAATCCTACATCTATTTGTCTCCAAATCAGAGAACGCCCGAACTACCCCTGGCTGGGTCTACATTGTCCCAGGATCAGACTGCTCTTACCCCAGGGTCAGACTGTCTTTACCCAAGATCAGACTGCCTTTACCCAGGACCAGACTGCCTTTACCCAATATCAGACTGCCTTATCCAATATAAGACTGCCTTTACCCAGGATCAGACTGCTTTTACCTGAATCAGACTGCTTTTACCTGAATCAGACTGCTTTTACCTGGATCAGACTGCCTTTCCACCGGTTTAGACTGCCTTGATTAAACTGTCATCATACCTCTAAACAAAACAATATGTAACTAGGTACTCACAACATCTAGCGCACTGCGTGTGGAAGCTCTGCCCGCCGATGTCGATCTTGTTGTTGTCGCTCACAGCTTGCAAGCAACGGGCACAGATGCAGCGCCGCGCCGGCTCTTCAGGAGGAGGGTTCGAGGAGTCCTTTGAGTCCGCTGGGAAAAGAAAAATCATGAAATTCGTGTGACCTACTTTATGGATGGCCCCTAATATGTCATGTCATGTCACCCCTCCCGTAGGTAGCGCTCCTATCCCAAAGCTCAGGCGCTGAATGAGTTAAGCGCTAGCTAGACCTATAGTTGCTTAAATTTAGAAGACAGAGAAACTAAATTTTAAAGTAATAACAGCCCGATGGCGTTGTTGGACTAGCCGAATCGAGATCCGAGGAATCTAGTGGCAGAACTACAAACTAGTTGTAAGCATAATTCAACAGATGGCGCTGGTACAAGCTCGTCTGCAAACCTACATCGCGGTATTAAAGATTTCCACTTTAGTAAACTACAATGTATTAAAGGATACAATGGGACCTTGATCCCCGAAAGACACGCGCTCGGAAGGAATCAATTCTACCTCAGCTTCCTAAATGGTCGATTTCCATAGCTCACATAGTCATAGTCATTTATTCCATAAACAGTAACATTATTCGTCAGTGGAAAGGGAAATAATAGGCTAGTTTCCTAAAAAAAATTTTTTAGTCCGTAATGTTTAATATCAAAAAATATTGGACACATATATTTTTATTTGTCAATCTAACAAATAATTACATAGTTATGGTGCGTTGAAGTTCCGCACGACGTCACAACGTGCGGCACTTTTATGCACGCATTGACGTCACGGGCCTCTTCTTATGAACTTTGGCGCGCTTTATCTCTTTAAATTTTCATTAGTTTGAAAAAGTAAAAATACGTGTAGAGTATTTTTTGATAAGTTAACAGACGGACTAATTAAAACTCTTGCTTTTTGACCCAGGAAACATCCCTATTGCTAAAGCGCCATTTCCACATGGCGCTTTAGCATTTTTTTCCCTTTATTCAACAGATGGCGCTGGTAGAAGTTCGCCTGCAAACCTGCATCGCGGTATTAAAGTATTTGAAATCAGAAGAACATGATAAATTAAATCAGTGTGGTCATTGGTCTACCTTCTGTCTTATCCTTCTCCTCCTGCTTGGCTCCAGGCGCCCACTGCATCCACCAACTATTGGAATGCATTCGCGGCGCTTCGCCCTTGAAGCGCGCCATCACGTGAGTTTTGAAGCACTCGCTGCAGAACACGTGGCCGTAGAACATCTTCAGAGACGTGGGGATGGTCCGGCATATGCCTGGAACCGTATAAAAATGTACAACTTTAACCGTAACTATATGGATGTTATGGAGTTCAACAGACTTTGTGTTTGTAGTAAGAGTTTCAGATCCCTATACTATATCGGTCAGACTTTTGTCTTGAGATACTGCCCAGATAACATTTTAAACTTGAATCTGACTTGCAGTAAGTTTGATGTATCAAAAATGAAGCTTTGTTTCAAATTTGCCATGGCAAGTATGTAAACTTGAGGCAAGTTTAAATCAAACTTTCTAGTTTCCGAGCGACAAACTTGCATTAATGTGTTTCTATAAAGTATATGCAAGTTTGCCTTAACAAACTTGCATTATGTCTGCTTCTATAAATTATATGTAAGTTTGCCTTAACAAACTTGCATTATGTCTGNCTGGTAAATGTCATCATTGCATTGCACTGATGATGGGATAGAAAAATAAACAAGCAAAACCTTATTTGTTAGCAAACGTCATATTTATTTAAATGTTAGCAGCACTGTTTCTTGCACGTTATGTTGGCAGGTTTGGTACCTAGTGCAAGCGAAAACCGACACTAAGGTGACGAACCTTTTCATTCTGCGACTGTACAATTAGATTTCGAGCGATACCACTTTTGGGCATTCTCCTTTTAAGTAGTTACTTTCCCCATTGTAATGTTATGAATTTCATTTTGCAATAAAAATACCATAGTTATGACTCGATTGTCGTAATGAACGAACTTTGTAAACCTTGCAGGTTTGTACGGAACCCTCGGTGCGCGAGTCCGACTCGCACTTGGCCGGTTTTTTTAAATAAATATTAGGGACAATAAAATTCACCGCAAATGTTTCTTTACAGCAATAAAGTTCCTACTGAACCCTCAAACTTCTGACCGTGTCACACTTAACCGGTTTTCTTTCTCCTGCAGATTTGTGTGGCTTGCAAATATACTGGGAACTACACAATTGTTAGCCCCAGATTAGCGAGCTTCCTTTAACGAAAGAGTTTCGTTGCCTTTTGGACACTGGAAACTTTTACTGGGCCTAATTACTCCATTTCCGAAAGCTCTAAGCTTTCAGTGTAGCTTTTAAATGTAAAGTTTTAGATTGTGATACGTACCTTTTGGTATCTATTCATTGAAGTTACAGCCTTTTAAATGTGACTATTTTTTGCCGATGCTTTTCAAAAAATTCCTGAAGACACATTACATTCAATCAGATGAAATAGGGTACTAATTAAAGGTAGGTACTATGGTAATCCATCCAAATTCCAATTAAATAAAATACTTAACCCATATATGCCCAAAACTCTTTAAATCTCAGATTATTATGTAATTTGGCATATTCACAGTTTCTTTTATAGGCATCGCAAGAGAACTTGTACCATTTGGTCATTTTCGTGCCTCTGGGCATATAATTATAGTTTCAAAGCTATTATTTAAAGCAATTTTTATATTTACAGGCCAGAGAAAAACAACGATAAGTAATAAGTAAATAATCTGTACAAAAAGAAAATGACTCGACTGATTATTACTTTTAAATGATTTTTTTATATTGGAGTAGGTATTTCATTACACATTTGTCTTGGTCTGTTTTTATTGTGAGAATTTCGTAACGATAATAAAAATAAATAAATTATGGTACTTACATTAGGTACCATTTCCATACGGCCAATAAAAAACCTTTATAGCCATTACCCAAAATGGTACTCAAACAAATGTGCGCATAAAGCAAAACCTCTTACCCTGAAACACAAATAATTCCGCAAACACCTTAACAAATTACATTTACATCATCTAAGAAAAGCAATAAAAGTTGGCTTGTCTTTGTCACAGATGGTGCAATAGTTATGATGTACGGCCGATCTTGTTGTTTGCTATTACGTAACAGCCCTTTACGTCGGCCCCCTGTGCCTACACGTTGGGTTCCGTAACTCAAACTGAAGCGGATTCCACTGTTTATACTTGTGACATTAGTTAATGGTTATGCTCAAAGCGAAGTTTAGTGAGGCGCTTCTTCCCAGCACCAGACCATAATGTTGTCCTGATATCCTTGTAGGGCAGGCTATTTGGGACGTGTATGCGCCCTGGAAAGTTTTAGGGCTCAAGCATACTAAATAAAAGCTTTGACTTGCCAAATGTTGGTCTCGAAGCGCTGGTAAGGCAAAAAGATTATGAGACATGTTTTTTTTGTTTGCTTTTTAACGGCTAAGCTGTAACATCCTCGTTCGTTTCAAAAGAACATCTACTGTTGGACTGTCCCAAGGATCCCAGATAACAATTTAAACTTGAATCTGACTTGCAGTAAGTTTGATGTATCAAAAATGAAGCTTTGTTTCAAATTTGCCATGGCAAGTATATAAACTTGAGNGGAATAAGTTGACATTACAACACATTGTATAGGTTTTTTTCCGGCACAGGAGCGGTCGTTGTGGAAATCCTTGAGGGTGGTCTGGGGTGGCCTTTGTCCAGCAGTGGACGCCATTCGGCTGAAACAACGACGACGAGATATTTAGTATTGTCCATTTGTCCAACTACTTTACCTACACTTTAATCAATTAGAAACTGTAGAAACTGTATCCCACAATATTTTTTTGACTAAAATTGTAAGACACATTTTAATATTTTTATGCATTTATTTTTTATTATTGGCTTGTTTATTTGGACTTTGCTAAATTATAGTGCCTTAGATTATTTAAATCATTAAAGAGTGGCGCATACCTATCTATAAAATATAAAAACAAGAATTTAATTTTATTAACGCAAAATTTTAATTCCGCAATTTATAAAAAAACAATACGTCGTCATGATTTATCATTCGGAGAAGTGGCTTGCAAACGTATGTAGATCATGTAGACACACAATACTACACCGAAAGTCCACGACGATAGCCCTATAACCATGACTGCAATGTTTTTGATCAGGTATATTTTGTATTTCCCGTACTGGCTGGGGTACCGAAGGCTGCCCAGATAACAATTTAAACTTGAATATGACTTGCAGTAAGTTTGNCCTTTTATGTGATGTTTAACTAGTTTATCGGTTATCGGTATCTCAAAGTAACACGTTTGAAGAGAAATCGCACTTATAAGTAATGTAAACACACCGCTCGTTAACTTGCATTACTTTGTTTGCAGCACGTGCCTACCTACTTCTCATCTATGTACTTACCTAAACTGGTTTCAGCCACTTGTGCGCAAGTTGTGTCCTTATCTGTCATAGAAAGTGTATATCGCGCGATCAGCTATCAAAACTTCTAAATTTACTTAACGGTCGTCTGGCTGGGCTACTTTATTCGTTCGTTTAAGCCAAATGACTTCCACTTCTGGACAAAGGCCCCGTCCAAGGATTTCCACAAAGACGGTCCTGCGCTGCCCGTCCTTCACCAAACCGTCAGTCCACCTAGTAGGCCTGTCTACGTCTTCCGGCCCGTAATTGTCACTCGAGAAATTTTCTGCCCTAACGGCCATCAGCACTACGAGCTGCCTAAGTGCTCTGCTGCAATTTTCTGCTGCTATAAAATGTTCAAAGATATTTATTAAATCTATTTGGAAACACAAAAGCTCTTTCGTAGCGAAGAGATTACGAAACTACATTGCGTTATTAGTGGCTCTTGATACAATTAAGTTTAGATTACGTACTTTTTTGGTAACCTTGAAAAAGAAAAGGGCAGCTAAGTATGCCAGGTATCGTTAACGTTGTGTTTTGGTAGGTACGTTACCTACTCTACATTCGAACACGCCATAGATTTCATCATCATCATTCTTATCTAATAATTATCTCGACTACATTTTCCGTAGGTAATTGACTGGTAACAAATTGCTTTGCCAGTACCGAATAAGGAATGTGGTAATTTCAGATCAAATTGGACCTCAAAGTTTACTAATCGACGGAAGCTGCGCGGGCGACGGAGTTTTAGTTAATGAAAGAGCACCAATCGTGGTGTGTTTCAAATCTGGATATAACTAGATAGATAACTAGCCAAGAATATGATAAAAGCTGTCGACAAAATTACAATTACTAAATATTCTTTCAATTTTCAGCCTACCCAGATAACAATTTAAACTTGAATCTGACTTGCAGTAAGTTTGATGTATCAAAAATGAAGCTTTGTTTCAAATTTGCCATGGCAAGTATGTAAACTTGAGGCAAGTTTAGATCAAACTTTCTAGTTTCCGAGCGACAAACTTGCATTAATGTGTTTCTATAAAGTATATGCAAGTTTGCCTTAACAAACTTGCATTATGTCTGCTTCTATAAATTATANCATCATATTATGTATTATTATGTTCAATACAAACAATCATTAAGTTACACTCACCCCAACCGCGTCTCCGCATTGCATCGAATCCTATGAAAATGTGGTTTTTGGACATAGCGATACTTATTCTTCACAATTTTAATTTTTAAAAATTACTGGTCGATAGGTTACTTTATTTTGATGAATAAATGTTATAAAAAGTTTTTTTCTAAAACTGATAGTTTAGCTGGAAAAAAATATTTTCCATGCCAATAGTACGCCGGCTGCGCTCGATTCGGATATAATGACGTCACGCGGCCGTGCGTACGTTGACTTTTAGCGGCAAAAACGGCCTATGTTTATTACTTAATATCTTCGTAAGTAATGGTCCGATTTGGATAATTCAAAAATATATATCTTTCTTATGTCTTAAAGATTAACGTAGATACTAGTTTTATTGAATTTTCTACAACAGTACTGATCCTCATTGCTATTAACCATATTTTTAGTGGTACGGTGACTATGAAACATGTTTAAGTTGTCAAAACCAACTGTTATGTGAATCCTACAGAAATCTCATTTGATACTCAATTAGGTACCTACTGTGTTTAAGATTTACTAATTTGTTAAGCATATTATCATATCGAAACCATGTAGGTAGCATATCGGCAGGGCCGCGCCGACCGCCGGCAGCGCCTGTGTGCGGAACCTACCCAGATAACAATTTAAACTTGAATCTGACTTGCAGTAAGTTTGATGTATCAAAAATGAAGCTTTGTTTCAAATTTGCCATGGCAAGTATGTAAACTTGAGNGTTCGACGACGCCGACGCTATGTTCTTCTGATTAATTTCGTTGCGGGTCCAATGACAGTTTAACTTTCCCCCGGGACAAACTTGACCTTCATTGGTTGGGTTTTTGTGGCGGTCAAGCTGTAGATCCTGGCTACACAGGAGTTGCAGTGGTGGGAACGAGAGGTGGGAATAGTCCCGTAAGATGTTCAAAATGTTTAAAAAAAAATAAAAATCCTGCTCTCATCGATATTCCTAAAGCTATACAACTATAAGACCTTCAAGGAAAAAGGCATCTTCTGTGGAAGCTCGCTCTATCATAGATC